GGCTCCTCAGCTGCGTGGAAGCCGGGCGTGTGCGTGTGCGACACACGTGCCCAGCTGCACCTCTGCCCTGCTCCCAGCCCCGGCCATTGGTCCCCAGAAGGTCTAGTGCACCTGTTTCTCCGCCCCCCCTTCCAGGGACGCTGCCCTATCGCCTTTCTTCCCGCCCCCAGCTCTGGTGCCAGACGTGCCCGGCCTGCCTCTCTTCCCCTCCTCCCCGGCCATCCCTTTCCGGGTGATCTGGCTGCGTAACCAAGTGCCTGGACCCTGCCATGTGCTTGGGTGCCGGATTTCACTGTTTGCTGCGTGCAGCCGCCTTGGGCCTCACGGCGCCCGGGCTCGCCCTGGGGCAGAGGGCCCCCAGAAAGGGGCCAGGCGGTCTCTTGCCGGAGGAGTGCTCCAACCATGCCCAGGTTCCCGCACTGCCCGGGCATCAGAAGGAGCCACTGAGGAGACGCCAGGTCCTAGCATGGCTGGGTTGAGAGGCCTGGCTGCAATGCATGCTGGGACTGGTGGTGTCGGCATGCGGCGTGGCCCTGTATAACGATCTGGGGGCCCGTGGGGGAGTCCTTGCTGTCCACGGGCTAGCTCAGGTCTGGGGACTCTCCCCGTTTCAAAGGCCTTGGCCGTGGCCTTTGCACCTCTGTTGCTACTTTCCAGTCTCGACTGTGCAGCCCTTGAATCTGGTTTCCCAAACCGGAGCAGATCCGGTGCAGGGTACTTGGTTTGCCACAGGGCTGACCCAGATCACGAAGCCCATTTCATCCCAGCCAGGTTTTCCACATCCATCCGTTTTGTGTCTCTGCCTCCCTCTGCCTGCCCAGCTGCCGGTGGTCGCTGGGCTCACGCGTGGGGGGGGGGGGATGGACGATACGGTGCCCCTCGTGACTGGGTCCGGCTGTTGCATTAGTGAGCAGCGCTGTGGCCCCAGTGGGCTGTTCATGCGGGTGTAGCCGAGCCCGGGTGTAAATGTCTGTGCTATCCAGCAGTTGGGTCTCGCTCTGAAGCGTGAGGGCTGGATTGGAATCCAAACCCCCTCCAGCTTCAGGGGTTCGTGTCGGAGCCCAGACCCGAGGGCCCCCCTGCAGATTAGGGATTTAGATGCCGTGGGGGGGCTCAGCCCCGTCTCCTGTGACCAAGCTGCTTCCACGTCCCCGGTGATGAGACCCCCTGGGGGCGTGGGGCGTTTCACAGCGAGGGATTATTGCTCCTGGAAAACGCGCTCCTGTACCCTGGCCTGCAGCCTCTGGCACGGGGCACTGTTCTAGCCCGGGAGCAGGGCTGTCCCGGAGCAACACAGCTCCCTGTCCCGTCTGTCACTCTCCTCCGGGGTGTGTCCAAGTCCAGCCCTGCTCCCCTGGGAGTCTGGGTGCCCCCTGGGGACGGGGAAGTGCGTCCTCAGTTACTGGCTAAGTGGCCGTGTGGTGCCATTTGAGCCAGTCGAAGGAGAGGATAAAGGACGAAAGGGTGGAGCTGAGCAATGGGGATGGGGGGTGTCTCCAGAAAGGGCCCAGGACGAGAACACCCACCAGGCGTGGCTGCTTGGCCAGCACTGCCTGGACCCTCAAGGGCTTGGAAACCTCACGTGAGCCAGTCTCCTGTTGGGGTTTCCTGGCAGGAAAAGACCAAGTGCAAAGTCAGTGCTGGAGGTTCCTCATGGCGAGAGCGCCGTCCAGCAGGAAAGGAGAGGGGACGCCTGGGTTCTAGTTCCAGCTCTGCCAGATCAGCTGATCTCTCAGTGCCTCAGTTTCCCGGGTGGGGAAGCGGTTCTAAGAACAGGTATTTGCAACGCCAATTAGTCAGTTGCATCCGCTCCGAGTTGGGAAGCGCCAGGAGCCTGGGCACAGCAGTTCGTTCCTCGCCGTCGCTTGTTCTGCTTCCGAGGGCAGAGCTGGAGGAAGGAACGAGGGTGGGAACGGGACTTAAGGTGGCAGAGTGAGGACGCTGGCTCTCATGTCCGGGGGTGTTTCTGGCCTCGCTGGATGCCGGAAATACCTGCAGGCTGCCTGCCCTTTGAGTGCCCGGCCGTGTCTCTAGGTTCTGTGGCTGCAGGAGGGGAAGGGCAAATCCCAAACCACAGCATTGCCAAATCGTGACTCCTTTGTGAGCTGCATGATGCTGCCGTTTGGCGCAGAGCCACCCAGGACAGGTGGATTATGGGAGAATCCCAGTCTTCACGGTTGAAGAGGGACTTTTTCGTGCCTCTCCCTGGTGCCTGTGGAGACCCGACAAGCTGGGACAAGGGGCCCCGACGGGCTTAGGACACTCCTGCATTATTATCTAAAGCTCCCCTCTTTTTTATTTTGAAGCCAGTCTCATGATTCTGGGTCCTGGGGGTGGCTGGGGCCGGTGCCGGCAAAGTCCAACCATTGCTGAGTCTCTCTCTCTCCCCGCTCCTTCCCCTGCAGAGCAACGGCAAAGGCAAGGACTGCGTCTTCACCGAGATCGTGCTGGAGAACAACTACACGGCGCTGCAGAACGCCAAGTACGAGGGCTGGTACATGGCCTTCACCCGCAAGGGCCGGCCCCGCAAGGGCTCCAAGACGCGGCAGCACCAGCGCGAGGTGCACTTCATGAAGCGGCTCCCCAAGGGCCACCAGACCACCGAGCCCCACAGACGCTTTGAGTTCCTCAACTACCCCTTCCAGCAGCCTGCAGGGCCCCTGACCTGCCCCGCCCCCTGCCTCCCAGGCCCCGCCCTCTTGTCCTCTACGTAGCCATGGGCTGGACTCTGACTAGAGACTTTTTTTTATACGGTTATTAAAAAAGAGAAGGAAAAAAAGGGAGGAAAAAAATGACCCGATCTAGTTGTTTATAATTCTTGTTTGGTTTTGTTTTTACACGAAAAGCAAAGAGGCTCTATTTTTGTACTCCAGCGCGGAAAGCGAAACGTTCAAAGACTCGTGAATGGGGAAAGGCCCTTCACTTAGACTCATCCTAGTCCGTTCGGGGTTGTGTTTTATTTTTGTAGCTCTAGGGTAAGGGGGCAAAACCTTGTTTTCAAGCAAACAACCACAACAAAAGGCCACCCCAATCTGGGACCAAGTACGACTTCTACTAAAGGGATGGAGGCTTATTTGAAAAGGTGGGGAAAGGGAAATACAAAGGCAGGATCTGAAGACTAGGAGCCATGACTCCTGGCTTCTTTTCCCAGCTTTCTTCAGAGGCCTGTTGGGTTTCTGGTGGTAATTGGGTTGCCTCTTTCTTTCCACGATCAATCTATTTCTCTGGCTGGGCAAGGGGCGATTTGATGCTGTTTTGATCCCAAAACATTGCCTCTTTCCCCGCACCTCATCTTTCTGAAGGCAGCCGGAGCGGATGTCCCTAGACAAGACCCTGAATAGAGAGGATCCTCTGTTAATAAAAGGGACCAGAACCGGAGAGGGCTGGGGAACGGAGGGGTTCGTCCCCAGGAACGGAGGGGTTCGGAGGGGTTCGTCCCCAGGAACGGAGGGGTTCGGAGGGGTTCGTCCCCAGGAACGATTTGGCCTCTTCATTGAAAACTGATTTTTTTCCCCCAGTTGTTGGCAACTGAAAACATTTTTGGTTTTAAAAAAATTTCCCAAACTCCCCAAAATGTTCGCAGTTCCTGGCTGATTTTTTTTTTAAATGTTCCATTCTCAGGCCAGATTTTTCAGGTTCTAGACCAGCCGCACAAAGCTGAAATTGTTTTCAGTGTCCCATTTCATTGCGTCAAGTTCCCTCATATATTGATGGAGGATCGACAGGGAAAATGACCAGTCCTCCTGGCTCCAAATCCCTGCCTTGAGGTCTCTGCAAAGGGGTCCAGGAAGATGGTTGTGAATGGGGAGGAAGATCTCAGACACTGGATGGCAGCCAGAACCTAGGGTGGCTTTTCAGCCGATCCTGTGGGTTGTTTGTTTATTTCCTGGGGGATTTCTTGTGGCTGTGTACAAATTGAATATGAAATGATGGAAATATTTATTTAATGTGCATTAAAATTGGTATTAGTCTGAACCAGCCTGTATGTTTTCTGGGTTCGGGGGCGGGATAGGGAGGGAAATCATGCCTGGAATTGAGGGAAATGGCAGGACCAGGAGGTTTTAGTGAGTTCAGCTTGGTAGGGCTGGAATCCCAAGGGCTCAGTGTACCGGGTCGGGAGCTGATTATATGAAGAGTTCAGTTCCCACTTCGGGTCACAGATTTTCGGGCCAGCAGGACGCACTGCTAAATAGGAGTCAGCAGTGCGACGCTGTTGCCAAAGAGCAAACCTAATTCTGGGCAGCATGAACAGGAGAGTTGAGAGCAAGACACGAGAATCATTCTTCCGCTCTGCGCTGATTAGGCCTCGGCAGTTCTGGGCACCGCATTTCAGGAAAGATGTGGAGAAATTGGAGGGGTCCAGAGAAGAGCAACAAGAATGATGGAAGGTCTAGAGAACATGACTTATGAAGGAAGACTGAAAGAACTGGGCTTGTTTAGTTTGGAAAGGAGAAGACTGAGAGGGGACATGAGAGCGGTTTTCAAGCATCGAAAAGGGTGTCACAGGGAGGAGGGGGGGAAATTGTTCCCCTTGGCCTCTGGGGACAGGACGAGAAGCAATGGGCTTAAATTGCAGCCAGGAAGGTTTAGGTTGGACATTGGGAAGAACTTCCTACCTGTCAGGGGGGTTAAACCCTGGAATCAATTGCCCAGGGGGGATGTCAAATCTCCATCCCTGGAGATATTTAAGAGCAGGTTGGACAGACACCTGCCAGGGATGGGCTAGACGGTGCTGGGTGCCGCCGTGGGGGCAGGGGACTGGACTCGATGGCCTCTCGAGCTCCCTGCCAGTTCTAGGGTTCTAGGATCCTGTGGATCACAGATATGAAGTTTCATCGTGGCTGAAGCATCTTCTGGAGAGGCGGCCAGACTTGCTTCGAAGGCTGAAGCGAGGTGGAGCCGCCGCTTCCCTTGGCAGGTTGTTCAAACGCTCGCTCGCCCTGCCCGTTCGGGATCTAACATGCAACTTGGCTTTAGCCTCCAGCAGCTGGTCCTTGTTCTGCTTGGCTCTTCTGGATTAAAGAGCCCTTTGGCACCTGGGGGTTTTTCCCTGTGAAGAGACTTTTCCCCAGTGAAGCAGACAGCGAACCCCGGAGCGAGGTCAGCGAGGACCGGTGAGCTGGTGGGGAGGAAAAGGCTCTTTTGCTTCTGCAGCAGGCCGAGTCCCGGCTGAGTTCCAGTGGGTCGGAGACGGGGTCTGGTGGGGCGTGTTGGTTCCTGGCTCTGGAGCTCAAGGAATTCGCTGTGTTCCAAAAGTTGGTTTGTCAGTCGGTTGTTTGGAACTCAGACGCATTTTCCATAGAACCGATGCTGTAAATGGTAGCTGGGTTTCGAGGCGAGCCCCCAAACACCCGATGAACCCAGCCCGGAGCTGGAATGCTGTCTACTTGCACTGAGCAATAGTAGAAACAGGTTTTTATGGGACGCTGAATGCTGGTGCTTGACAGGGTTGCCAGATGGTTTAACCGAAAATACCGAACACTCCCCCTCGCCCCCCAAGAAAAACCACAGGGGAAAAAGTTCTATTGAGAAAAAAAGGGGGAGACCAAAGTTGTTGAGGAAAAAAAAGGACCCCGAGAGCTGTAAAAAAAAAAAAAAATAATAATAATAATAAAAAAAACCCAAACAGCTTTTTGGCCCTAACAGGCTGCTGGTGGCCGTCCATCATCCTGTCTTCCTGCCCCGGGCCAGACAGCGCCCATGCGCACCTGGGATTTTCACTTCCTGTCCGGGAAAAAATCAGAAAATCCCGGATAGTTTACGTTTTCTGCATTTTTTTTACCTTACAGGAGGCGAAAATACCGGACTGTCCGGGTCAGTCCCGGACACCTGGCAGCCCCAGTGCTTGAGGGAGCGCAGGCGAGGAGGAGGAGGAAGAGAGTCTGGAGGGGACTTTTGGCCAGTGAGGGCAGACACTTGTCACTGGGGCTGTGGGCCGGGCTCTCCATGGCAGAACCCGCTGGTTCAAATGGCAGCTGGTGGTTTGGCAGGAGGCAGGCCTGGCTTCAGGACGGGCGATGACCCCAGCCCCTCGTCTCTCAGAGGGTGGCGCTTTGCTCTTGGCCCACGTGCCTGGGGGCTTGTCCGGGGACGTTAGAAAAGGGCCAGGCCCCTATGGAGGGAGAGGCTGGATGAGCCCGGAGGCCTCCTCGTGGGGCCCCCGTAGTTGGGTGAGGATCATCCCCCATCCTGCCGAGAGGGGCTGAGTCAGTAGCTTGTGTCCCTCGGCTGAGGAGCAGCCCAGAAGAGACAGTGATGGGGGTAAACGAGACCCATGGACACAAGGGCCAGCCAGGACCGTCGTATGTGTCTGGTCTGACGGGCCACTGAACCACCGGCTACTGCGATGGGCCACACATCTCCCGCGGCCGGCCCGCATCACCTAGTAGCGACCCGACCCTGCAGGCAGCACATACCAGCTGGGACGTGGGGGGCTGACATTGTGGCAGGGCAGCCGGCCGGCACCTCCTGGCCTGTGCTCGGGTAGCAGAGCCCGCCCCAGGCCATGCCTGGCTCTGTCCTGCTTAGCACCGGCTCCGCAGCAGCCCAACCTGGGTGGAGCCTGGCTCACATCTGTGCCCGGAAAGGACGGTTCCCAGCCCTTCAGCCTGGGGCGCCTGCAGCCCAACTGGAGTTGAAGAGACACCAGAGCCTGAGGCCCAGCCATCTCTTGGTAAGCTGTCCCCAATGCCCGCCCCTGAGCCCCCAGCCCTCACTGGCTGTCTCATTTGAATGGCTCTCACACCAGCCTCCAGCTGTTCTGTCTGCCTGGGGGACAGCCAGGAGCCCTTGACTACAGACTGAATTCTTGTGCCCCCATGAGCCCATTTTGCAGATGGGAAAACTGAGGTGCGGAGACAGGCCATTCCTGGACATGAAAACCCAGGCCCAGGCTGAAAAACCAACCCTACCCTGAATAGTAAACTGCTTGGGGAGGAGGGCTGAGCCCACAGTCCCTCATACAACCTCCCGTCATGGACCTGAGGCAGGGACAGGGGAGAGACCCTAAAGGACACTTGGGCCCAAGCTGCCGTTGCCTTGTGGGGTCATTTTCACCTGTGCAAAGTGGGGCAGAGCTGGTCGCACTTTGCTACCCGTGAAGCCAGGAAGCCCAAGAGGGTGAGGTCATGGGGTCTGGAGCTTGGCTCAGGCAGGGGCCGTTCCTGCTTTGAGCGCTCAGGCCCCCGGTCTCACACCCCGCAGGGGGGGCAGACAGGCACTGTGTGATGCACCCTGGTGCCGGGTGGGCTCAAAGAGGGTTTGTTTCACAGAGAAGTTCTGTCCCAGGCGTGCTGGGGCCACATGGCTTCCCAGGACGCCATCGCTAGGACGGGTGAGTGAACCGGCAGTGCCTGGCTCACGAGATGCCATTGGCAGGGAAACCAAGGCACGGGGATGTGATTTCAGTGCCTCACAGAGCGACAGTGCTAGAGCACTATGTGTATGTGGATTTACACTGGTGCAAAGCTCCCCTCCATTAGAGTCCTGCACTAATAGTCTGAGCACCAGGTAATAAGCCAGGTGATCTTGAGAGCTAAGCCCTGCTCTGACAATGCCTTGCTGGGTGACTGCGGGCAAATCTCATCGCTGCCCAGTTCCTCAGTTTCCCCGTCAGTGAAATGGGGATGGTCCTAGGGAGGCGAGACGCCAGATTTCCCCGTCAGTGAAATGGGGATGGTCCTAGGGAGGCGAGATGGGTGCAGACGCCAGGTGCCAGGTGTGATTACGAGGTGGTAGCAGGGAGAGTGCAAAGGAGGGAGGCTGTGCGCCGGCTGGTGCTTTCTAGCCAGGAGGGGCTGAAGAAGCCAGGCAGGAAACAGTCGCCCCTCTGGTACTGTTCTGCTTGTCCGTGTGCCTCACCTTCCCCGGCAAACGAGTGAAAAGCAGGCAAGCAGGGCCTCTGAGAAGGCCAGGGCTGAGACGCAGCTGACAACCCATCCTGCTGGCCCGGCTGCTCTGCTACTGCTCAGCATACGGCACCACCCCTGGGTGGATTTGAACCTGGGACCCCTGGAGCTTAGTGCTATGCTATGAAGCCGGCTGGCTCCCAGCCCCCGCTGCAGCGCTGCCTCCTTGTCATCTCTCACTGGCCGTGGTCTCAGCGCCGCTCCGTGGGACAGGGAACCCCCCCACTAGGTATTTGGGTTACCCGTGGCCAGGGTTCCAGCCCCATTTGGCCTGCTGGTTGGATGCTCCTCCCCGGCCCTGCCCGGAACTGAAGGGGCGCACGGGGGGAGCGCTGCGCCGGGCCCCTGCTGACACGAGCGAGCAGGCGTCTTCTGCTCGGGGCCGGACGCGGCGCCGTGGCGATGTCGTCGTGCGCGGGGGCCTGGATGTTCCGCGGGGCCGGGGCCACGTCGGCCCTGAGCGACACGGAACGAGCTGGGGGAGAGGGATGTCGCTCCACTCTGCCGGCCAGTCAGACTTCACCTGGCGTAAGCGGGGTGGGGGCCAGTGGCTTTGCTGGCGCCCCGTGCACCAGTGCAGCAGCATGCGGGCCCGTGAGGTCCCTGGCGCTCCTGGAGGCTGCCTCCCGGGGCAGGCTGCGCTGGAGGGCCCCGTGCTGCTGCGCTGTCCTCACCCACATGGCGCTGTGGGGCGTGAGGCCGTTTGCAGGTGCTCCGAGCGCTCCAGAGGGCTGCGGATCCACCCCGCGCTCGGGGCCGCTCTTAGTCACCCTCGGTTTATTCCACCCCTGGAAACGCGGCTGCTCAGGGGCCCGTTTATCCCTGCGTGGCTTGTAGCTTTCACCCCGAATGGCCCTTCTTCCCGCTCCCGTATCGTCCGTGGGCATCGTCCGTGGGCTGCAGCAGCTGGGGGCTCCGGGCTTCCTCCCCCCGGGGTCTTGTGAGCCCACGGCAGAGATTCCCCTCTCACCTCCCCTGGCTTTGGGACCCAGACCTCCGTGCTGGCCCCAGTCTCTACACTGGGCCCCAAATCTGTGGGGCAAGTTCTGAGCCAGCGCTGGAGGCCCCTCTCGGATTGTTCC